AAGTAATTTCACCCAATTTTGGCTAATAACAAAAAATAGTTTGGGCTTATAAAAAAGTAATTTTTGCCCAAAGTGTTTTTGGCTATTTTTGGCTATTGGAACACTGGAATGCAGAAATTCCAGTGTTCCAATGTGGCACATATATGGTTGCTTGCCAAAACTCCACCAGAACTCAATCAGCAGGGTTTCAACAGGTTACACACTAATTGTTTATTAGAGTTTCAGCAGAGTTCTACATTTGGGAGCTTCAGCAATTGGCAGAGTTTTGGCAAGGTACACAATAATTGTTTATCAGAGTTTCAGCAGAGTTTCAGCAGTCATTAAGAGGTTTCAGCAAGCAACCTTATCCCAGTTATTTGTCATTGGAATAGAAATTTAACATCATTAGTTATAAATCCTGGGCACTTATTGGTTGGAGGCAGAATGCCATAGATGTACAAATAATTTGAGATTTGGGAATTCTTTAACAGGCTTCCCAAAACTTGCTTTGCACATTTGGTATTTGGGCAGCATATATAACATATATGCTGACTTGTTTGAACCAACTATGAGTGTTTATTTACTGACATAATGTTACAAATACTTATACTAGCAAACCAATTGGTTTTGATGGTAGCAAAATTGTAAATTTTGTTAGGTTAATTATCATTCTATTGACCAGTTACATAATAAGATATAGGTTTGAAAAAAAAGTTTAAGAAACCAAATCCACTCATATGACCCATATTATATACTAAATTTACCAAAATGGTCACAAAAACTGTTGCATAAGCATAAAAATTGACATCACTGCCATATTACTGAGAAGATTATTTACTTATACATTTTAGTTGATCTTCAGACTGTTAATAGTATATTTTAAATTTTTATTTTTATATAGTTGAAGACCTCCTAAATTTTGGGCAAATTTTAAAAGTATAATAGTCATTTTCTGTCCTACCTTTTAAAAAATAGCTTTATTAGTTGATATAATATGTCTATAGTTTTAATGTAATAGAGAGATTTCTCTAAAAATTATTTGTTGTAGAGTTCTAAAACATGTGCTTTACTATTACTATGTTCATAAGAAATTTGAGTGTCAGTATCATTGCTAAATTTAGACTGGTTTTAGAACATCATTACTAAATTTGGCAGTAAGAAACTAATTTTTTAACCAAAATCACATGAACTCTTTTTAAAAAAATTTATTGCATTTTTGAACAAATTATGAAATAGATTGCACACTTGATTCACTTCCTACATAATGAGTTTAAAGACAGGAGGCTTTTTGGAATCATCTGGTGAGTTAATTTCTTCAGCTATATTAAGCTTTTGTAATTCTCCCAATGTAGGTAATTTAGATTTACATTTTGGACAACATTGTTTTTTGCTTTCTATATTGTATTCATTGCAGTCAGAGAAGTATTTATCAAATCCATTTTTTGATGCTCTATTTGTCATAAGAATATTGATTACATTGGTAGAACTTAATTTTTCTTCATTAAATTGACCAAGGATTTCTGAAAGATAAGTAAATAACTCTTTATCAATTTCCTCTTGCATTCCAGATGAAAGTTCAAAAAGTTCTTTGTGTTGCTGTTTATTAAGATTATCATATACCCAAGGACTATTTATATGCTGCACTTGATAACTAGACTCCATATTAAAGGCTACAAAACTAGTTACAACATGATAAATTACAGTGTTGAACCCACAATCCAGATAATTCTTTTGACCCCTCTGTTCATTATCAAAAGCTATAAATAAAAATCCATCAGATAATGGTTCTTCTTCATCTGATAAATCTTCTAACCATTTTTGAAAGTATGAATAATCATCTCCACTTGTTATATGATTGTCTATGTTTATAACTTTTTTAGATCATACTAATGAATACTTAATTGCAGATGATACAAGATTCATTTCTGATACATACTTCCCATGGTGTGTCCCATATATTGTATCTACAGCAACTGCTCTTTTAAAAATCTTTGCTTGGCTTAAGTAAGTCATCAGGATTATTGTTATTATATGTTAAGGTCTCAATGAACTTAACAAGAACCTGATTATGTTTACTTAGCCAAATTTGTGGGGAATAGTTTATAAGGTTATCTAAAGAAAATCTATTATTGTTCCTAATGAATATTTCAATATCATCATACATTGATTCATGTTCAGCAAACCAATTTCCCTAGCAGCATCTATACATTTTTGCTGACTACTAAAACATGAATCCCACTGCTTAGAAAGGGTATTGTTTTCATCCCGAACTTTAATTAATTGATCATAAGAATCAATTAGCTTTTGTTTCAATCCTTCAATTTCAAGATTTTGAGCTTCTAATAGATGCTGCTGTTGTGAAATTTTATTATTAAGATCTATAATACATTGTGATTTTTGCTGACAATCTAATTGACATATTTTGAGCAAATCCTTTGTTTTCTGAAGTTCCCCAAAATATTAGATTCATCATCAGTGACTTTATCTCCATCACAATTTTTGCCTGCACTATTACTAGAACCTGTCCCCAGTATATCTTGTTGAAACCTTTTGTTTTTTTGAATTAAACATATGTCTGAACTTAGATCTGAATTTAAAAGATTCTCATAAAAATTGTCAGTAGCAACAACTTGATTATAATGATTTATACATAATGAATAATTTCCTAAACAATTATTTAATA